CCCCAACCTGCCTGTGATCATTCGTTTGGTGGTTTTTCCAGATTTAGATCTGTGAGGTCATATTTTGCAGTCATGTGACCGCCTCGCTGTCTCGTTCTTGCGGTTCTGACAGGCTTCTGCAGCTGGACTGAGTCTAAACGACTGTGACAGACAAAAGCACAAGCCCCGCCCCACGACTCACTGAAACAGCAAATGTCTGGAGAGCGTCTCCGTCCTGGTCGTAGGTGTAGGTGCCGAGCAGCTTGCCTCGCTCCCGGCTCTCGTTAGCCAGACCCTGAAAGAGCGTTCAGGTTACACAGAGACTACAGAGCAGCGGATTTATGAACGCACGCCATCGCTCTCTTACGTAGACGGCGAAGTCTCGGGGGGCGCTGTGCAGCGTCCCGCTCGGGGCCAGGGCTTTGGGGATGTGCTCGAGGGTGAAGGCCGAGGGCAGGACCCTCATGGAGAGCCGGATCACCAGGAAGCCCGTGGCGCCTCTGAAGGCCCAGCAGTTCCCCGGGTGGACGTCGGGCTGCAGCAGAGGTTTCACATCAGTCTGAGCAAAAACATCTGGAGGAGCGCTGAGAGGACAAAGTGTCGAGACAGGAGAGGCTTCATATCATAACCACACGACCCGCTCCGTGAGTTACCTGGATCACCGCTCGGGGAGACTGAGAGAAATACCAGAGCGGGACTCCGAACAGGCTGAGCAGCGCCGCCTTCGTCTCGTACGTCTCCGAGCAGCGAGTGCTCAGGATGCTGCCCCCTGCAGGACGAGCACAGAAACCACACTGGGTAAACCCTTACAGCAGGTTCGTGACATCACAGACGGCCGCTGTGGGACTCTGACCTCCAGACTCCAGAGCGTAGTCCGCCAGGCCGGTTCGATCCTCAGAAAACAGCCGCAGAGCGTTCGTCACCGCCGCACGGACATCCTGAGGATACGAGGGAGGCGTGAGTGGCGATTATTACAGCGTGGATAAGGTCATTACTCAGAAGGTTAGACAGGTTTATCAAACTCATCCTCAGGTGGTAAATTTAGGCCCGCCTCTGACCGCGCCTCCTCACCTCCTGGGTGACCGTGGCCCCGACGCCCTCGGCAGCATGCAGGACAGGCTCTCCGACCGTGTCCTCGCCGCGCCGCTGCTCCAGCTGCAGGCTGACGTTCTGTAGGATGCTGAGCTCCAGAGAGGCCAGCGCCGCCTGCAGGTCCGTCTCGCTCACACAGCGCTCAGAGAGCCACTGGAGGAGCGACTCTGGGAGGGCGGCGCCGCCCGCTGTCAGCTGGTTGCTGAAGAGCAGCGCCCGAACTTCCTCTCGCACCTGAGCAGAGACCTGCCCCAAAATCTACAGACAGTCAGAACAGGAAACTGGTCCTTCACATTAAAAGCACCATTCAGTGAGGCTTTTATTGTGAAGGAGACCGTTAAAACAAGTGTCTCACCGCCTGCTGGATTGTGGCGAGCTGTTGGCAGCCGTCCTGACATCTGGACAGAAGCTCGACGTCCCGCCTGACATCCCCCAGAGCCGCCTCCAACCGAACCACCTCCGCTAGCAAAGCATCATGGGACTGCCGGTCAACACTGGAGGAGGAAAAAGACACGAAGGAGTCGCACCAGCTTCTCTTTGGTCCAGATAAACCTACAATGGCCTGAAGAAGGTGATGATGACGAAGGTTACCTGACAGCAGCAGGAAGCGTGGTCGGCGAGGGTGAGAGGAGAGATCCAGCAGCTTCACGTCTCCACTGAACCTCCTGCAGTTTTAGTGAAGCGGTTTTATTTCTGAAGCTTTTACGGGTGAAACGCGATGCCAGGCTCGTCTCAGGTCATGTGACTCACCTTCGCTTT